TACAGGCTGCCTCCTAGGCCTGGAATCCATGCCCTTTTCACCTTTGCTTCTTAGAATTCCTAGCTTCTTAGAGCAGAGCTCAAAGGCCATCTCCTGCACATGGCCTCCCCTAATTCTCCTCATTGTTAGTGTTCTTCCACCATCTGAAAATATCTATCTAGAAAGGGGGAACATAGTAAGCACTTAATAAATGCTTACTGATTGATTGAAGCTACAGAATTAGGTTAGAACAACTCATTAGGACATATTAAATTCTTTTCTGTTTACATATCTACTTTGAGCTGTGGTCAAATGTTAATATGTTTAAAAATGAATTATTATCTCTACTCCTAAATTTGCTTCTTCTGATTCCATGGTGCGTGTGTGCGTGTGTGTGTGAGTGAATATTTCCAATGACCTGATTACCTGCGTTTGAAACCTTGGGCTAATCTTGGGCCTTTCCTTGAACTTCATCTCCAGTTTCTAATAAATTAGCAATTCCTTTCAATTTTCTCATAAATTAGCAATTCCCCTTGAAGCTAACCTTTCTCTATTCATATTGCTACCACTCTAGTTCAAGTCTTCACTGTCTAGGGTATTATCAGAACTTTCTAAGGAGTTTTCTTACCTTCATTCTTTCTTCTTATTTAATACATCCTTCAATTTGCTGCCTTAGTAATTTTATTTCTGCATAAATTTGGTCATATCACACTTCTGCTAAATAACCTCAAGTGGCTTCCCAGTGCCTCTTAAGTGAGATTCAAACTCTGCAGTGTAACAACAATAAAACTAGACAACTAGCATTTATATTGCACTTAAAGATTTGCAAAATGCTTTACCAATTTTCTCATTTTTTCTTTGTAACCTTTGGATGTAGGTACTATTATTATCCCCATTTTCCAAATGAGGAAACTGAGGCAGAGAGAGGTTAAGTGACTTGCCTGGATTCACATTGATGGGGTGCTTGGATGCCTGTGCTTGGACCCCAATTTCTCCCTGGCCTCGGAAACACTATTCCTTTTCCTCCAGCCTAAGGACTCTAACTCATGAGGTGGGCCCAGTGAGGCAAACTATCTCTCCCTGTTACAAGAACATGCTGACCTCTGTAGAATTTCCCTTGTATGAACAGGATTATCTTGTACCAGCAGAACTATCAAGTACTGATGCCCGCAGTTACCATATACAAATCAGAGGTCAAGCTATAGATGTCAATTCCTGAAACTTATCTTGTTACAGATATGATAGACTGAAAATATATCCCTTAGAAACCCTTTCCCCCACCCCCACTCCCCACCCTCGGTTTCTAGTAGTGAATGATGCACTGACCAAGGTTGTATGTTATCACCTAAATAGCACACTTGGCACATAATCCGCTATTTTTCCTATATAAGCTTTGGCACCATTCCTGTTAGGCTGCAAGTTCCCTAATGAGCTCTTCCCACCATGGCAGGTTTCTTGAGAATCCTTGCCTGCTGTATAGTGTAACAATAAATCCTTGCCACCTTGACTTAAAGAATGCTTGAGTTTGTGAATTTGTTCTAGACGACCCTGTCCCATACTGTGGTCCTGGAGGGGTCAAAACTTCTCAGAATGCAACAACCTGACTAGTTTCTGAGGCTTAATTCAAATTCCTATCTCGATGACTTCAGGCCCAGAATTCTATCTAATGTGTTCCCAAAGTAATTTTTTTTTTCCCTGAAGAACTGAGATTCAAACTCAAGTTTCTTTGCTCTAAATCCAGTGTTTTTTATACTACACCATGAGGGACCCATGTGACTAACAATTTTTACCCTAATCTGGGGAAAAATTCAAGTACAGCCTCTAGTAGTGTCTCAGTCTTCTTTCTACTATGAGTACAGATATTACTGTTTTCCTGTTACCAGAAGGATCCCAGTTAAATTCCTAGAGGTCAGGTGCAGAGGCTGGGATGGTTCTGCCATTTTGCATGGAAGGGCAAGGAATGGGATGCTAGGGTAGGGGTTGGCACACAAGAGCAGGCAATAAAGTTAAGCAAAAAGGAGGAAACACTCCCTCCATTCCAGTCATTCTCTGCTCTAAGATTATGTCTTACTCTTGGGGACACCTGATGCATGTGACCTGCAAGATTCTTGGGGAACTGCCAGAAAAAGATGGTTTTGAGTATGAACAGTCTGCTTCTCATCTCCCCCCACTTCTATTAATGAAACTCCAGGGCATATTAGCTGACTTGATAGCTGAGATACATGGATTCATAGTATGTTATAGTCATATTGCAGAAAACAAAACAAAACAAAACAAAATGGTAGCCAAAACTTGAACCAAGACAGAAACCTCTATAACACGTCACTTGAGACTATCTCCTCTGTTCCCAGATGAAGTCCCACATGCAACAGGTTATCCATTAATTTCTTCCCAGGGGCCTACCTGCTTGGATTCACCTGCTTCAGCTTTCACCAAGGGCATACTGAGCCGAAGGGTCAAAGAGAGGAGGGGAAAACAATTCAGTCCCTTGCACCTAGGAACCCATCTCTCCCTCCCTTCCTTTTCTTTCTCTTTCTTCCTTTCTCTTTCCTGTTACAGTACTTGTTTTAGGCTTTTTAAGCAAAATGTCCATACTCCCTTTAACGAGAAACCTCTTTTTCCGTTTACATCATTGAGAAGCGTCCCACGTGCCTTATTACTGTAAATTACCTCCCAGGATTGTAGAGCAAATGGTGGACACGTGTATTAATAAGGATTATTAGAACCTCGGTAATACTGAATTTCCATCACAAGTACGGAAGAGGAGCTTATTTCAACATGGAAAAACCCCAACCACAACTTCCTGCTGAGGAGCAGAGCTCTGGCTTGGTGCGGTCCCAGACCAGGGGTGCCACCTTAAGTCAGTGAACTTGGGGCTTCCCCCTGTCCCCCAACATTTGGGCAACCGTTTTATAACAGGATCGACTTCCTTCGTCATTCTATGTGTTTTGTTTTATGCCTTTCACAGCTTCATTCTAAGAGATCCACGGGCTTTACCAGGACACAGACCAGGGGGAGACCCCGCCTTGCCCCAGCCCGCCTTGCCCCAGCCCCCCACGTCCCCGCCCCGGGTCACCCTGTGGATCCGGCGTGCGTTCGTGTTGTCCCGGAGGATGTCGGGGGAAGCTGGATGCCCCCAGGCCGAGCGTGCCCCCGGCCCCCTCCCCACCTCGGCCCCAGCCCCGGCCCCAGCCCGCTGAGGGTCACCTGTAATTGTAGGAGGTGAACTTGCCGCTCTCTCTCAGCATCACCCGGTAGAGATCTAACACTTGTGCCCGACTGGAGGCTGCCATTTTGGGAGGGGGTGGGGCAGAAAACAAACGGGTCCTTTCCCCGAAGGCCCCACTCGACCGGAGGGGCGGACTCGAGTAAAAACCGGGGTCTATGAGGCGCGAGCTCTGCACCGCTCCGGGGCTGGGGCCGTGTACTCGGCACGGGGCTCGACACTCCTTCTTCACCGGTTCTCCGGCGCCTGCCAGGGCTCTCGAAGGGCTCTAGAGCCCGCCATGTTTTGGAAAAAGAAAACAGGCAGGATCTTGGACAGCTAAGCATGGGGGGAGGCGTGGAAGCCTAGGAAAGTCAAAACATCGGCGGGGATTCACTGCTCCTGCCGGAGCCCCAGCCCAGAGCTGGAGGGCTGTTGAGCTTAAACTTGGAAAGATTAAGTTAGGACTGTTTAGCCGAGGCGCCTTCCCTCTCCCTCCACACCGTCCCTTGGCTCTCTTCTGCTATTTGGTCCATTGCAAGTGTACTGACAATGCAGAACTAGTGAAAATAGGACCCAGCTACGGGATGCGGGGCTAAGGGTGCTGCTTGGTCTCCAGGATTCATGCATGAGTGACAATTGGCTTTTCCAGCTTCTAGAGCTGGGAAAAGGACCTCCTCCTCGCTCGCGTATGACATACGACAAATGAGGAAATTGAGACTCTGGGAGGTTGAGTGATTACACCTGTGGAAAATATCAGGCAGCATGAGTGTCTGTGTGTGGGTGTAGGAGGCAAAAGTATGCCCCAGGTAAAGTAGGTGATGATGCATCACCTTGCTGCAAGCTTTCCTAACTCCTTGTCCCGTTTTCTTATCTATTTTTAGATCCTGTCCCTGGGTTTGAATCTGTGGCCACGTTCAGCTTAAGTATGCCCCTGATGGAAAGCAGTTCCTATACCGAGGGCTGTAGATGAAATATAGGGTTCAAATCTCACTCACGACCTGTATGACATTAGGCAAGCCTGTAGAAGGTAATACTCTGAGCGGATAAGAGAGATGTTTTCAAGTATCTGAAAGTCTGTCAAGTAGAAAAGGGAATAGACTTACTTTGTTTTGCCCTACAGGGCAGAATGAGGTGGAAGTTGCAAAGAGAAAAGTCAGGAAATTCCTCCTTTCTTTTTCCTTTCTTCTTTCATCCCTCCCTTTTCCCCTTCCTTCCTCCCTCCCGTCTTTGCTTCTTCTTCATAATGAGAACTATCCAAAAGTGGAATGGGTTGCCTCAAGTGGTGGTAGAACTCTTCTCTCCTAGTCTTCAAGCAGAACTTGAGCAATTTAGTGAGGTGGTTATACTGGGGGTTCCTTTTTAGATGAGACTTGGACCGCAGAGGCCCTCTCCAACTCAGAATTCTGAGTCATTTCAATGTCTTTGGGCTTCAAGTGCTTCACTTGTCAAATTAAATAGTTGGTCCGGGTTACCACTTCCGACCATAGATCTGTGCCCCTATTATGGAAGTCTAGGGACCAGTTTTAAAACTTGCCAGCCAGTTGTAACAGAATTGCCAATCACACATAACCCTCTAGCCTGCGGGCTTTTAGCTAGCTAAAGCATTGCCTGTAGTCTTAATACATTCCTACCAAAAGCATACTGTTCTTATTGAGTTCAGAGCAGAAAGATGGAGCTCAAGAAGAAGAGCACTGGCAGCACAGGGAGTTGAGGGGTGCATAGTGAAGCTGCTAGGCGAAGGCTCCTTTCTTTATGTTCAGGCATTTTTGAGGACGACTTGTTTTTGGGGCCTTTTAGAAAGGGCCCTCGTAAGTTTCAAGATGGCGGCGCCCAGACTGCACGAGAATTAGCTCTTCAGTGGCTTCAAGTCCGTTTCCATAACCTGCGCCTAAATTACCAGTTTTTGAGATTTCCGGCGTCTGAGTTGTTCTGGGAGAGTGGTTGGTGAGTGCGAAGCTGACCGTCTGGAAGTGTTCATGTGGGTTACTAGCGGGAGTTGGAAATTGGACGTGGATTTTTCTTATCCCAGGAATTCCCTGGGGTTTGTGTTGGCTCTTAGTTCAGGAGTCTTGTCACTTTCGTTTTGTGGGGGAAATGTTAACAGTAAGGTCTGGCTTGGAGGAATTCAGCGCCTTTAAAGAAAAGGTCTTTATTTTTTTAGTTCAAGGAGTCTGCAGGAAGTTCAGAAACGAGGCAGGAAGTGCGGAGAATTCTTCAGGCTTGACGCATAGACACTTGTACCTGTCACCTCCCTAGGAGGTCGTCACACGCATATTCCCACCCCTGTTGACTTTGACTAGTTTCGTGGTGGTTTAACTTTAGACACTGTACCGAAATTATTTCCTTTTCTCTCTCCTGTGAGGATGAATGTGAGCCGAGCTCAAGACCAGGAAGGCCTGGGTCAGTTCTGATCCAAGTGTGGTTGGTTGCAAAGCACTTCACGTGTTTTCAGTTATTACACGAGTGAAATGTCATAGACAAAGACTTGTTGCACAATGTTTTTACACTTCCAAGCAGGAGAATAATTTTCCTTTTCTCTTTTTCCTTCTCCCTTTCTTCCCCTCTAAAATCTCATATTATTTGGTGCCCTTCGTATCAAACACTCTCGATTCACTTTTTGAAGAAAGTGTTCGCGGTGTATACTGTAAGGCTTTTGCCTCTTTTTTTTTTTTTTTAACTTTTGATCCATATTTCCTTATATACCTCACCCTTTCCTATCAACACCTGTGCATAGAAATCACAGTGTGGAAGTATATTTGGATTAAATGTGATGGGTTTGCTCAAATTCTTTATACAGCCTCTGTAAATCAGAACAGAGTTTAGCTCATGAGCTGCATTTATTTTGGTGGTGAACTTTTCACTTGCTCTTGAGGGTTGCAGTGTAAGAAGAATGTTAGTTTTTTAAATCTAAAAAAATGTTAAATGTGAACTGTGTTTGCATAACACAGGATGTAGTAGTGGGGGGGAGGGATGAGCATTTTCATAATACTTACTTATTGCATTTGATCCTCACAACAACCCTGCCAGGTAGGTGTTATTATTGTCCCCATTCTACCTTGAGGAAATTGAGGCTGGGAAAGGACAAGTGACTTGCTTAGGTTCACACAGCTAGTGGTAAGTGCTTGACCCCAGGCCTAACTATTCACTGCCACTTCTCTCTCTCTCATACAGTATCTATCTATATTTCAGATAAAGTGTTCTGTATCAGTCTCATCACCATGAATTGAGAGGCAGTATTCATTTATTTCCCTGTCTCTGGCTACACAGTTTCAAGCATAAGTCCTGTTAGCCAAATTACATATCCAGTACTTTACTGCTTTCTAACCAACATTCACTTATTATGTACTTAATGTTTACAAGGCACTGTGCTATCCCCTGAGGATAGAAATACAAAATGAAAAGCAGTCTCTGCCCTCAAGGAGCTTATATTCTACTTGAGATTCCACATCTGAACTTGTCAGCAAAATTGTAGATATAAAGAATCTGAAATTACAGATTTACACAAATCTTTCACATTGATGTGGAGCTGACTCTGAGTTCTTGAAAGCTATGTCAACAGAGTGTAAGCTCTATGATATTTTAATAGGTTGAAAAAACTTTGAGTACCATCCCAGGTAAAGATGGAGTTTATTGAAACCAGCCTAACTAATGGAGAAGTTCATTGTTACCAAATTGACCACAAAGTAATGAATTCTTTGGCCATAATAACCTATGAATAAAAGACAAATATAAAGTTCCTCTCATTCCACTTCCACGATGACATACTGTTAGATCCACTGAACCACATCAATACTGATATTATTTTAGTAAATGAAGCCTGAAGATAAAAAGAAGTTATTTCTTACATAAAGGGACCTCATAAGTTCTCTTTGGAGAGCCAAACGAGGGAGTTGGTAGATTTTTTTTGATCAGCTACCCAAAAGCAGCATAAAAAATAATTTCATGGGATACTTGGGATATCTTGTGTTGTAGTTCATGATGAATTTTAGCAAAAAGATTCCATGAAAATAATAACTGACATCTATCTAGTACAATTATATTTGAAAAATACTTTGCAAATATCTTGTTTGATCCTTTGATGTATCCTGTGAGGGAGTGACTATTTTCCCATTTTGCAAGTAAAAAAACTAGGCATAGAGAGGTTAGTAAGGTTAAACGAACCTCTTTCTTCTCTTTCCCCTCATTTCCATCATGAGGCCTTTGGAGATGTCTTAGATCCTTGCGTTGCTGAGAACGGTTAAGTCTATCAATATTAGTCATCGCACAACGTGGCTGTTACTGTGTACAATGTTCTCCTGGTTTTGCCTCACTTCACTCAGCATCAGAACATACAAGTCTTTCCAGGTGTTTCTAAAGTCAGCCTGCTCATCATTTCTTATAGCACAATAGTATTCAATTCCATTCATATATCACAACTTGTTCAGCCATTCCCCAATTGATGGGCATCCTCTCAATTTCCAATTCTTTGCCACCACAAAAAGAGCTGCTATAAATTTTTTTGTACATGTACAAGGATCCTTTTCCCATTTGTATGATCTCTTTGGGATACAGCCCTAGAAATGCTGTTGCTGGGTCAAAGGGTATACACATTTTTATAGCCCTTTGGGCATAGTTCCTAATTGCTCTCCAAAATGGTTTACTCATTTCACAACTCCACCAGCAATGCATTAGTGTTTCAATTTTCCCACATCTTCTCCAACATTTTCAATACTATTTTACATGGTGATTTCATTAGCTCCTATGGTTTCTATTATTATCTCTCAGCAGTTGCCTCATAGATCTACTTGTCCAATACTGTCTCTCCAAACCTCTAGTCTCAGATCTCTAATTGCATGTCATCTCGAACTAGATATTTTGTAGACATCTTTAACTCATTATATCCAAAATTGAACTCATTTTCTTTCCCCTCAAACCTTCCTTCTTCTTAATGTCTCTGTTACTGCCCATAATCTCACCGTCCTCCCAGTCACCCAGGCTTGAAACCTAGGTGTCATCCTTAACTCCTCATTCTCATTCCTCCTATCCTTTCAGTGTTCAGGTTCTGTCGTTTGTACTGTTAAAAAAATATTACTCATATTCTCACCCTTCCCTCCTGTGACATTGCTACAGTCCTGATGTAGGTCCTCATCACTTCATGCCTAGACCATTGCAGTAGTCTGCTGGTTGGTTTCTCTGTCTCAAGCCCCTCCCCACTCCAGTAAATCCTCCACTCATCTGTCAGATCAATCTTCCTAAAGTGCAGATCTGACCATGTCACTGTGCTATTTAGACAATGCCAGTTATGCCTCTTACCTCCAGGATCAAATATAAAATCCCCTGGTTTTTAAAGCTCTTTGTTACTTGACCCTTTCCTACCTTTCTTCTTATACCTAATGCCCCTCTGGTAACAGTGACAATGCGGTGACACTGCTCTTCTTACTTCTTCCTAGCATTTTCTCTGGTTGTTCCCCAATTCTGGCCCTTCCCATCTCTACATCGTGGATTCTCTGGTTTCCTTCAAATCTAAAATAAGGTCCCACCTTCTGCAAGAAGCCTTACCCATTCATCCTTAGTCTTAGCTCCTTCCCTTTGAGATTGACCCTGTTCATCCTGTATATAATTTTGTTTGTTTACATGTCGTCTCTCCCAATAGACTTTGAGCTCCTTGAGTACATGGGTTATTTTCTGCCTTTTTTGTATGCTCATTGATTAGCCCATTTATGCTTGGAACATAGTAGACACTTAATAAATGCTTATTGATTTATCGACTGAAATGTATGTGATCACACAACTGGATAAAAGTAGGTCTATGAATTCAAAGCCAAATCTCCTCTGACTCCAAGTCCAGCAATCTTTATGTCTTTCCTGCTAATAGTAATAATAATAATAATAATAATAATGTCTAACATTTACATAGCTCTTATTATGTGCCAGGCACTGTGTTAAGCATTTTACAGTTATTATTTCATTTGATCCTGAGAACAGCCCTGGGAGATAGATGCTATTATTATCTCCATTTTACAGTTGAGGAAGCTAAGGCAAAGAGAGATTAAGTGATTCACCTAGAGTCCCACAGCTAGTAAGTGTTTGAGGCTGGATTTGAACTCAGGTGTCTCCTGATTCCAGACCCAGTATTCTATCTACAGCATCACCTGATACTGGCAACTGTTGCAGAGGATAAAGAATTAGAGGAAATTCTGTTGAGCACTGCAAGTTCTAGACAAGTGAAAACACTCATTAATAGTTGATGACTTCATTATGAAAGTGGGTACAGAAAGGAATGGTGAAATGTATGATAAAACATGGTTCAGACTAAAGAAATGAAAGAAGCCAAAGGCTTGTGGCCTGCTTAGAATCTGAATGCATCTTCACAAGAGTTGGACTGACTGTATTTTAACAGTCAGGAGGTCTTCTAACTTCTTGCACCCAGCTTTCCTTCTAATCAGTTTTGTATATGCAAATAAATATGCTTTCAGAGCACACCTGCCTAAAAGTAGTTTATTGCAATCAAATAAAATTTACCAAAAGGTTCATCTGACAGACATTTAATTATAAAATTACAACATAGCTTATTTATTTAGACATTTATTGATTCAGCAAATTAAGCTATTAGTATAAATGATGAATAAGAGAAGATTCTTGTCCTGAATGAGTTTATAATTATCTAGCACAGTGCTTTGCCAGAAGTAAGGGTTTAATGTTTGTTGAATTGGATATACTATTATTATGTTGCATTGTATTATTATGTTGCATTGTAATTAGGCATTAATAGAAAGCAACTCTCACCATTAGGTGGCTGGCAACCAGGTGATGACTTTTTCCCCCGATGGAGTAGCTTATGAAAATGATTATTGAGGTAGGGAGTTGTCAATCTACTTGAATCAATAGATAATCCACACCAGTGAAACTATTGTTCTATTTTACTAATGAATTAAGCACAAAACCCAGTAGAGAAACAATTAGAC